TTGAAATAATTAATTTTATATTACTGAAGTAAGAGAAAAATGTTTAAAAATTGTTTCAATAAATATACTAACACTTATAAAAGCTTACAAGCGATATTAAATTTTTTTAAGATAAAACATTAAAAGTAATATATTTTTAATGAAAGTTTTAAATTTTACCTATTCAATTTGAAATCAAATTTTTATTATTTAAAAAACTGGCGAAACCGTTTAAGCCTCCCAGCTTTCTTCAATTTTTTATTTTCCCTAATTCCAATGAAATTCCACAATTTTGTAAGTCAAGTAGTTCACAAACTCAAAGAAAATGAAAATTAAGAGCGATAACAAAATACATACACTTTTAAACAGGTTTTTAGAAATTTAAATATTAATATCTGTAAATATTGTAAAGAGAGGATAACCACACACACACTCACTCACTCACGCACACACACACTTAAATACAAGGAAAAATCAAAAGACTCAATCATCATCACACAAATGGCACACGAAATAATCAAACTTCCCAATTTACAAATCAAAGTTCTTCAGTATTATTTAAGAACACTCAACAACCACAACAACAACTTTCCTTTTTTCTCTCCTTCCGACAACAAGCAAAGCAAATAAATCTTCTGTCATGAAGCAGCAATCACAATTCACAAAAACAGATGACAACACAAACCAATCACACACACACTACAAAACAAACAAAAATGGTAATAAAACAACAGCAACAGAAACAAAATATAACCGATAACAAAAATAGTTGATATTGTATGTACTAAGCGCTCGAAGCAGCAGTAAAATTAAATGAGTGTTTTTAATTGTCTGAGCATTATTTTCGATGGAAATTACAATTACAGTTACAATATTTACATTAATATATATACATATACTATATATAATATAAAAACGACAGACCCGATAAATGGCAGATATGCAAATATGAAAAACAATAAATTTAACAACAAATGTGTACACTAAACACTGCAACAAAATTAATAGAAGAACAAAACAGATAAACATAATACAACAACAGAAACAAAAACCAAAAACCAAGAAAACCAAAAACAACAACAAGACACATTTAATGACGTATATGAGAAATAACTGAGAATATAAAATTTTAAACAAATAAATAAAAGTAAATAAAAACTTTACGATAAAAACAAACAGAAAAAAAAACACAAAGCGCAGTGTTGTATTTTCATTATAGTTCACATAAGATTTTTTGGAAAATATTTTTGATGTTAGTTTATAAAAATTGCCATTCAAATAAGGTTATAAATTTTTATTGCTAAAAACTAAGGCTAGGTTAGGCTCGCAGGCGTTTGACGTAAATTTCAAAAGGTTTTGTGGCCTCACTATCGACACCTTTTCCAGTGTTTTTTCCGTTGGGTGCCCAAGTTTTCGAAGCGTTGGCTTGCTGGTGCAATACATCCATCCGTTCGTTGGTATCTTGCTCTTGACATTTCCGGCAGTTATCGATTTTCAGCCCCATTTGGCACGTGTATACTGTCATCAATTAGGTTAGGTTAGGTTAAAGTGGTAGGCAATAAGCCACTCATAGACCAGTATTGGTCCTTTGCAATACCAGATGGTGTTCAGTTCCTAGGTCCAAGAGATGTAATCATGCTGCGGTCTCACTATCGATACATCCTCCAGTGTATCCTACCGTGGACATCCCAGATATTTACAGCGTAGTCTTACAAATGTGGGACAGAGTGATCCATTTCGAGGTTCTCTACTTTTTTAAAGAAAAACACAGAAACAGTAAGAAGAGGCACAGTCTTGTTGAAAACAAATGTTGGCAAGATCTCGAGTTTCAATTTCAGGCATCAAATAGTTCTTGTATAATTTTTTTATCTAGTCAAGATGACAGTCTGACACTGCAGACAACAATATCTATTACAATCCGTAAACCAAAAACAAAGTAGAAATATTAGCTGCAGACTCAAAGACTTTCTTTTTTTTTTTTTTTTGTTTTTTTTTTTCAATTTGAATCTGTGACTAATTTCGTTTATTCTCCTTTCATCTCCGAATAATACATTTCTCTTATGAGAAGATTTTTATGATAAAAATTCGCTCGGAGGAGTTTAAATGAGCTGTTTGAAATTGACCGGTACCGGCATTGTAATCAAGTTCTATTTTGCAACTGGGCATCTATAACTCCTACATAGTTGTTTTAATCACAGACCTAAATTCTAAAAATCATTATACTCTTGCCGGCTACTCATATTCTTAAAAGTTGTACCCCTTTTCAAGCAATTTAAAGGATGCTCTTCGGAACGTATGAAAAATTAATACTCCATGCAAGCAAGTTGGAATAAAACCGAAGGAGTTTCTCCTTCAGTTTCTCCTTCATTCATTTGTTTGTGTTGGTCTTCAAGTTATATTTTGAGTTATAAACCAATTATATATTTAGTACACTACTATAGAAAATATTTTTATACTCTGAACAGTAAGACTTCCCTCGATTGTTCGTACATATTTGTACATGAATTAGACCCTCCGGTATCGATATCAATCTCAAACTTAATTTTGTCAAATAAGAAAATATGTTTTGTTTGCAGTTTATTGACGTCGAACCTTTCTTGTCTGCAACAAGATAGTGGTCGGTATCAATTTCTGGAACCTTGGAGCGTAAACACATATAAAACGTGTCTTCCGTCGAGCAGAACATGATCGATCTGATTGGTGGCTATTCGAACCGAAGACAGCCAGGTAGTTTAATGAACGTTTCTATGCTGGAGTCTAGTACTACATACAACCATATTTCGTGCCGCGGTGAAATCGGTCAGTCTCAGCCCATTTATGGATATGTCTCATACAGACTAAATTTACCGACCGTTGTGC